TCCTCGTTACCTTGTGCTTTGGCGGCCTCCTTCTTCCGCTTGCTGCGCTCCTTGGTCTTGCGAATGTTGGTTAATAACTTCTTATCCGCCTCCGGGCAGCTCTTGTTTACAGGCTCGAAACCAAAGCGGCGGACCATCCTCTCTAGAATGTGCTTGACCTTTGCCTTGAAATGGCCCTTATGTTCATGTGACCAAACCATAAGATTCGGTACCATCGACTGCAACCGAGAAAGCATCATCTCAGTCGGTAAACTGATCACGCAGACTTTAACAAATCCCAATACACTCTTTACAATCTCTCTGTTGTTTGAAGTCAGGAAGAGGTCCATTGTCTGTACAAGGTCGCTCAGTACTTCTGATTTCACTGACTCTCTAAACTCGTAGAGGACACGAGTAAGTGCAGTGATTGATGCCGAAATCATGTGTGGTGTGCTCCCTGCAAGTCCAGCGCTAACCATTGTGAAGAACTCTTCTATGCTCGCAGAAACAGATGGCGAGTCATTAGGCATATGAGGTACTTTGCTATTATCAATTTGTTGCCCTTTCGCTTCTTCTAACCGCCGACCCATGGTTACTAAAAGGTCGTACGCGATCGTTCTGGCCTTTTCATTGTTTTCTTTGCAGCAAATTACCACCTCAGACAGAACGGAGGGGATGAAATGAAGAGAATCATCAGGGATGAAGGGAATTAGGGCAGCCATGGCGGCCAGGCGCTCTCGTCGGGCTGGGGCCGAAACCTTCTCAGCACTCGAGAGCAGTAGGCTTTGTAACTCGCCGTGCTTTTCCCGGAGCGCAACTTTTCCAATGTCGGAGTCGGCAAGTCTTGGTATTAGCTTGTATGCCTTTTTCTGCAACTGGGGCTCATCTTCCTTCACGATGATGAGAGAAGCTATGTTGAAGAGCGTACTAAAACTTTGACGCGGTAGATACGCAGACATTGTAATGACCAAGTCCATAAGTGTTTGACTCGTTGAGGGCATCTTGTCCGGTGAGTTTTGAGACTTGTTCTTGGTTTCTGTGTTGCTAGCCTCATTAATTGCCGCAGCAAGCATTGTGCTGACACGATCAAAAGTTGCAACTAATTCGTTCTCAGAAGTGATGCTCAGATATGCATTTATTGTTTGTAGTATGGGCCCTCGAGACTGAGGGAGAGTCTGGCTGTAGACGTTAAATAAGACCGCCAGAAGGTTACCAGCAAACCCAGCGAGGTAGGCAAGGTTTTTCTGTGCGTCGGCTTTCGACACCCTGCTCTGGAGCAGCAAGTTATCCTCATCCTCAATACCGATAATGGCCTGGTTCGACTCAACTAACGATCTGAGGGCTCGGCATACATCAAGCCTGAGATCAACTTGCTTGTATAGAAGGTTGGCAAGCATTTCCGCAAAACCTTGATCGAAAGAAGTTGTCACGTCCAGAGGAAGATCGCAATAGCCAGGAAGAATGGACCAAGTCTGGTTGACGAGTGTCTCGTAGATCTTAACCTCCATTGTTTTCGCAGCTTCGCCATGATCGAGCACACGTTGAAACATTGCCTCGCTAAGTGGTACGAGCTCGGATCTGAAATGCTGAAGGTTCGTGTTGCATGTGTAATCCCGTAATATAGGCAGCATCCATGCCCTTCCGGCTTGCCCCTTGACCGGCTTGACGAGGTTTAAAGGGAGAACCGACAGCACGGCCTCCGGGCCCATCGCGCGTACAGCTTTACCAATGACCTCATCTGCTTGTTTCTTTCCCACGAAGGAATCATTCCCACGGATTTCTCCTATAGTTCGTACAACATTCCGCATGATAGGATCGGCCCGCCACCTCAAAGTGTCGAATATGGCACCAAGGACATTGAACGTCTCCATCCATGCTGCCTGGTATCTTACGCTAATAAGACTCTCGGCGAGCCTTGCGATTTTCTCCAGCGTCTTCTCATCATATATCGAAGGCTCAATGATAACTTGGTCTGGTATGCAATTTGCTACAAACGAGATTAAGCACTCGGAGGCAGAGACCCGAATATTGTGCGAGGATGAGTCCATAAACTCGGAGATCATCGTGAACAAATCCGGGAGTTTCTGAAAAGTTTCCTCAGGCTCGATCTGAGCTGAGACATCATACCCACGGGATAGGATAGCTATCCAAGGTGGAAGCAGTTGGGTATCGTGGGCGGCGGGTCGCATTTCCGAGATAATCTCGAGGAGGCGCGGAAGTTTCGCTGACGCGACTTCATCAGCCATGCCCTCAAATATCATTTCAAAAATGTCGAAAACGGCCATCGTCATGTGCTCATTTCCACCCTTAGCAATACTAAGCAAAAGCTCGCACAACGACTCGAGATTTCTGCTTGGCCAGCCCCCGCTTGCTGCGGCCAATGTTTTTACAAGTTGTAGAGCATGTATCAACGCCGGATCGTGCTCTCCCGCGGAAGACTTTTTCTGCTTTTTTGAAATGGCAGCCTTGGCAGCCAGATCAGACAAGCTGTTCATGGCCGTTTCGGCGCAGAGATCAGAGGCCGGGTGGTCGAGGGATGGGCTGGGCGGCGGGTTTTTGAGGACTTTGCGTAAAGCATCTTGGGCTCTTTTGCGTACTTTTGGCCGGGGATCCAGTGCTAAATGAAGGAGTCCCGCAACAGCTCTGCGCGGGCTGACTTCACTAGCAGGTAGCTTCCATGCTGACGAGTCTTGGGCAAGGAGGAGAGACTCGAGGCATCCTATCGAAGGCTTCAACAAGGGGGCATCTGCACCGGCCAGCAGGAGGACGGGGGCGAGGAGCGTCAGGATCTGGGTGAACTTGGCTCGAAGGAGGGGCTGCGGCGCGAAGGGCGTAACGATGTCGAGCAAATATACAATGGGAGCTGTGAGCTCTTGGTTGCCTTTGCCCTCGCCAGCCGACTGGTTAAGCAAGGCCAAGAGCGCGGCGAAGTATCCCGTCGGAGTGGCCGAGCTGTTCTGTTCCTTCAGCGTTTCCTCCACCGCATTAAGAACCACTACTGTCTATATAGAAAAAAAGTAGGTTAGCATACAAACTAATCCTTATTTAGAAATAATTGCACACCTGCTGTTGGCTCTGAAGATTAGGAGACCGTATCTTGTCCAGCTTCTCCTCCAGAGTAGCCATGTTGGAGAGCTCAAACGCAATGTGCAGACTTGTTCAAACCCTCCAGACTGAATTCTTGGGAGATCGCAACTGGGAGATTTTGGGTTTTTTTCTGGTACTTGGTGTTATCTGGGCTTATCGCAGAACAACTAACCCCACATTTCTCCTCCTCCACCATGAACCAAAGTCAATGTTAGCGGTAACAGTCAGGTATGCACATCACTAAGTAGGTATCTATAACGGATGAGAATAAGTGCTATCCACGTGTAAACTCAAGGAAGGATGGATACATGGTCAGGTCATTTAATGGTTTGTTTCATTGATGCCAACGATGGTCAGTGAATCCATACATTGATTAACGCTTGCTTGCTTGTAATACAGGTCCTTTACCCCTGTAATCATTGTAATCCAAATTTCACCGTAACTCCATAGTGAATCGGCCCTAACAAACCGTATTGTCCGTTTATGCGAAGTCTTCCTCCTTGATATTATTCTTTATCCTGAGCAGGATTTCCGTCTTCCACTTGTCGAGCTTCGACATTTGGTCGTACTGGTATAGCTTGTCCTCAAAGTCTCCCGAGTCCTGTGATTCTACAGAGCCAGCAAGGTCCACAAGTAGCTGGTGCTCTCTTGTACTAGCAAACGTCGGGTCCATGTCTCTGTACTTCTCAATCGCTCGATTCGTGCCAACCAGATCCTCGGTGGCCAGGTGACAGATACCCGCCTTCAAGAAGTAGTCCTTCACTGAATAGCGCAGTAGGTTGTTGTTGACGGCGTTATCCGCGATCTTCTCATAGTGTTGAATTGCTTTATAGTAATCTGCTTCTAAAGCAGCAAGGTCTGCAACCTTCAGTAGCAGCTTGTTTGCCAGTCTAGACGTAGTGGTTAGCACGTCCGAGTGTGAAAACCAAGACCCGGTTGCTCGTGGAGGAAACCTACGCCGCAGCGTTGTCTGACTCGTACCAGCCAGCAGCAAGTTCGTAGCACTCGAGGGCACGTTTCCGGTCACCCATCTCAACCTCGAATACCTCACCCTCGTTTTCTTTGTGTTGGGCTGCGCGCCTGAAGTTTCCCTTCTTGCAGTATTGGTTGATGGCGACTTCGAGACATCTAACAGCGTCGTCAGGGTTTTCTTTACGGTAAACCTACTCCCGAGTTAGCTCATAAATATTGTAGTACATCATTCTTATCGTACCTTGAAGCATTCTACCATGGTGTTGGCGGCGTCGTCGGGTTCCTTTAGATTCTGACTCTGGATGGTAGCGGCCTTCTCAAAGGCTAGTCCAGCCTCTCGCATGAGACCTTGCATCCGGAACGCATTGGCGGCTTCGACATAGAGGTCGGCGGCATTCATGTACTTGTCTTCACGTCCGCCGAAAAAACTAAATCCGCCGCTCGCAGAGGAAAGGGCCTTGTCTGCCTACATCCAGGGTTCATCAATACAAACGAAGCGGAAAAAGCAGTGTAACGATAATCTAACCTTTTGGAGCAATGCGCGAGGATCGCCGGCCATGATGAGATGGTTATATCAGAAGCTCAATGGGAAATGAATGAAGAGAAAGGTTTGCGCAATGATTCAGGACGAAGAGTTGTGGTTGAGAAGAGAAGAGGCTCAGGCATGTGTTGTCATGTTCGGGTTTAGGTATGCCTAGGATGTACCTCCCAGGTAGGTGGTTGGAGTGGGTTTGGCGGGGTGTCTCATGCTAGAAAAGAATGGGTCGTAGCTCCCCAATGACATCGCCTTGTCTCAGCCCTGTTACCTCCAGGGGGCTCCTTTCGCAAGCTACCTAGGTAGCCCTTACCTACTTAGACTAAACTTTCTAAAGCAGCGAGGAAAGGATTGAAGCATAAATCTATTAACCAGCAAAAAGAATACGTAATATTTCTACAAAAGGGGACAAAAAGAGAAAGTATTTTGACAAGAGTGGGACTTGAACCCACGCGGATTGCTCCATGAGGAATTAGTTTGTTAAGGTAACCTTAACCTCACGCCATAACCAACTCGGCCATCTTGCCCTTGTTGATTACTTTCTTCTGTGACTGCCATCACCGAAAATGACATATAATCTGTAACAAATGTAGCCTAATTAGAGTGACTTCCTAGGAAGTCATTCTTGAAAACGTGGGCTAACTCAGTAAAGTGGCTTGTAGTCAACTCACCATCTAGAAAGAGTAATTCCTACCGATGGCATTCCGTTGTTTTTATTTGCAGATTAATTCGTCTAGGTAGTATGAGACTGCCCTCAACCCTCCAAGAAGTGAAGCTTAACTCAACGCGATATCTACACTTTTCCGGTCGGAGCCGCGTCTATATCATCTAGACACCCCCCGATATAGAAGCTCTCTTAACGAACGCTCATCCCCTCCCAACCCCAATCCCACCATGAACTCAACAATATGTAGCAACTGCAGGCTCTCGCTCCGGCGCGCCATGCGCACAATCCGGCAACAAGCCAAAGCCCAATCAACAATCGCATCAACCCTAACACGCGCATCGCGCACAGCTGAACAACCCCATTCCCCAAATCCCACGTCCGCAGACCTCACCCCCCTCCTCTCACGCCCAACCTGGTCCGTCCGCTCCCTCCTCCCACAGGACGCCTCACAAACCAGCATAACGGCCAAAACCCTCCACCACCTCCTCCGGCTCTCGGCACTCCCACTCCCGCGCACAGCAGCCGAGGAGGCGCAAATGCTATCAACGCTAAGCTCCCAGCTTCATTTCGTGCGCGCAATCCAAAGCGTAGACACGACAGATGTGACACCTCTACGCGCGATCCGCGACGAGACTGCGGCCGGGTTACGCGAGCAGACGATCGGGCTAGTGGAGCTGCGAGACGCGCTGGAGTCAGAGGATATAGTTGGTCATGCGAGGCGGCCACGCCGGCGATCGACGACGCAGGGGCAGCAACAGCAGCAGCGACAGTCGAGTTTAGCTGTAAATGAGAGAGAAGTAAAAGAAGGAGAAGTGGCGGGACGGGACATTGCACGGGAAAGACCTGATGGAACTCTTCCGGGGCAGAAGCGGATACCGACGAACGAGGAGGAAGATTGGGATGTTTTGGGCGGCGCGAGCGAGACGGCAGCAGGGCGATATTTTGTGGTGAGAAGTAGCGGAACGGGCTCATTACCCAATGAAACCATTGGTTAAATAATTGACGAATTACGACTTCGCGAACTCAAGTTTATAACGCCAGGAAGGGGAAGATACTTGGAGAAAAATGTTTACTAGCACGACGGATGCCATTCGCCAACTTCACTATGTGCGAGCATCGTTTTTCATGGTTATGTCCTCGATACAACTACACCGTACCCCTTTGTAGGTATGTGCTCCGGCAAATAGCAATTGCCGAGAAATCTTATTTATACACATGTCAGTCCAACGTCTTTTGGTACATGCAGCCGGCCGCCCCATTCTCTAACCCCCCGAGATACACCCGAATCATTCATGCATTCATTCATATACTATACACAACATTATATTCGTTGCTCCGTCCAATGCCAACGCCCCAATAAGAACATGCCTTTAGACTTATTGAGCCTCTTGACGATGAACTCTCGTGGGGCGCTGGTTCTCCATGCGAGTTTGTCTGTGACGCGGCTTGGAGTTCTCTTGGTTGATGTGCGCATGCACGTGATGGTTGCCTAGGTGTGGTGTCGGTTTTGCTTTGCTATTCAATTGCTTAGCCACCAACTTTTCCTTCGGCACCCCCTTGCCGTTCGATTTTTTGGTTGCAATCCTGTCTTTCTGGTCCTTCTCAGCCGCTGGATCCTGGATGATATTCCCATTCTGCTCTCCAAGGGCTCGCGCAAAGTTGTGCTCTTCCTGCATCAAGAGCGATCTCTTTAGCAATTCTTTGTTTATTTCGCCTAAATCAGTATCCTCCCACCGCAGCCGCAGTAAGACATCGCCAATATGATACTGATAGTGAAGATGATTGCTGATACTGTCACTAAGATCGACGTTTTCAACTCGAGGGACGCCCTCGATGGCTTGTAGCCCTGCAATACCGAAGTGCCAAGCACAAGTTCTGTAAAGGAAACCAAGGAGGTAGTCGTTTTTGGAGTAGACGTTTATGAGTCGACCCGCGACGACGCTCTTCATCGCTGTCCAAACGCGGATTTCCGAGGGACAGGGCGCTCCAAACAAGACGACATTTTCCACAATACCAAAAGCTCTCTTCTCGGACAGTGAAGTTAGACAGGTATAGATAACCCGGGCGCCGAGTCCATAGCCGACTAGAGAAACGGCCCTCTCTCCCTGGACTTTGTTGGTTAGAATTTCAGCCAAGACCAGTCCCGTCTTCTCCGCCCGAACCATCGCGACTGTCCAGGGGTTGTCCACGACCTTGCTAGCCTTAATAAGGGTATCTGGCCAATGCGAGGTCTTAAGACTAGTGAACACTAGATATGTCAATATATATCTTTAGCTATATGCTCATATTCCACTTACCGTTTCGTTGGGCAGTGTCCTTGGTAGCGCTCCAGGCGGTAGTCTTCACCACCGTCTGCAAAGCCACGCCAACCTTTGACAGAGCTTCGAGCTCCCATCGAAGAGCATAGACCTCGTTCAATTTACCAAAAGCGTTCCATGGGTATCGAAAGTCGTTCTCTTCAGTAGTCCAGCCGCTAATACCAATCATAACACGCATACGACGATTCTCTGCTGGTATATCTTTGGGGTCAATGAACTCAGACTGTAGAGAACCGTGCATTGGTATCAAGGCAAAATCTTGTATGTCTTTCCCATATGCATCCATCGTCTTGCCGCCTTGCCGGGCTCCGTATAGCCCGAACAGGGTTCCGACGGGGACGGTGCTATCCGCCGCGCCTATACCGCCCAACAGAGTCGCCGTAACTGATGTACTAAGCCCAATTCCTCCGAATACTGTGCCAATACCCGCACCTACAAGTGGCTCTGCGAGAACATCGGAGAAGCCCGGAGCACCAGGATTATGATTACCGTTAGTACGCCATCGTTTGGAAGGTTTACCCTCCTCTGCGCGCTTCTGGGCAACCTCTTCGGCCGTGATACCCTTTATAATTTGGGCTAAAGCTTGGGAGACTCGATACTCGTCCTGCAACAGCACATAGGTTGGCACTTCCATTGCAGTAGCAAGCTTAATGAGTGCAATACGAGAGTATGTGGGATATTGATCGAGTCCTAAAAGCATCAAGAGCATTGTATGAAGTATCAACGCGCGCTTCTCCTTTGGGAGCTTGCAAAGTGCTGTATACTGGGGAGGATAGAGCTCAACGTGTTGGGCATTAGACGCATCACCGTTCAGCAAGGGTGCTACAGAGGGTCGTCAGCTATTTCATATCAAAGAAACTCTGGGATAGCAAAAGAGGATCAGTCTTAGGTGAAACAAAATCGGCGTATATCTACAGCTACCGTGGAGGAGGAACTCACTGGCGGGCGCGGCAGAACTTCCTCTCGCCGTAGGTTTTGCATTACCTGATGCTTGTTGCGGTCCTTGGCGCACAACGTTGCCACCAGTGCCACCATTCTTGATGACTATCTCTTGTAGCCGTTTGAAAACAAGCCCGCGCCACTTTCCGAAGTAGCCTAGAGCATCTCGCTTCAACTCGGTCAAGCTAGCCATGGCTAGCTCGATCTCTGTCTTCTTGGAGCAAGCTGTGGCCTCATCCGGTGACTTTGGGATTGTCAAAATTGGCCTGGGCTTAGCTGTATTGTGGCTGACTGGGTGGGACTTCATTATGTGTAAAAGAAGGTCGTGATCTTCAAAGTCGGGTTTATCGACTGGTATACCTATATTTCCATACTGGCTGCGATACTTGTCACTGCCCGGGTTAGGCACGGAGAGGACTGTGACCTTGGGAGCGGCAATGCCTTCGGTAGGCTCGACTGGTGTGATTGTCATTTTGTCAAAGTTGTCACGAACCTGCATCTGGAGCTCATCCATGATGGCCATCATAAGGACCTGCAGCTGTTTCATCTGCTCGATATTAAGCATGACACTCAGATCGATCTCCGGGCGTTTAAAAGGAATGACCTTGCTCGGTTGGGGGTGGCGAGGCATTTCTTCAGCTGCAACCTGGCTTTCATCGCCAGATGATGAAGTGGGAGATGTAGGCGGTGTAGAGGTCTCCTTGGAGGAGTCGGTGACGGCCACAAGGGCCTGGGCTGTCGGCATTTTGGCCTTTTGAGGGGCAGCAAGGTATCAGGCAATCGACGGTTGCTGTTGCTGGAGATGGTCGGCGCAGGAACAGCCTTGGAAGGAAGGAGCAGGGTCGGCGATACCAGCTTGGAATACCTACATATACTTAGATGGGTGGTGACTATAGGTGGTTCTAGGTGATGGCCTTCTAGCTAGGTGGGCTGTTGCAGTTTCCCCCGGACAGGTAGATGTCGGCCGCGGATGTCACTTAGTAGTAATGCAGGAAGTAGGAAGGTTGAGAGAGGTAACTCCCCTGGACAGATATTTATTGATGGTACCCTAAAATACTACAGAACAGGAACATACCCAACGCCTCTCGGTGGGCAGGTGTGCAGATATACTTCAACGCAGGACCAAGCGGGGTCAATTGCGACAAGTGCCAGTCTTGATTTAATTGGTAGGTACTTTCAAAATACCTAGGTAGGGAAGTATTACCCTGTGCAACAGATCACTAGTAGGTATGGAAAGCAAACTGCCCTTCTCTCTGCCTATTGTGTATCGTCTTGTCTCGGCTGCCAGCTTGGCCCTAGACAGGATTCTATTAGGCACATCCCATTTAAGCGATGGTGACTGAGATAATTAGGAACATATTTTGCTGCTCTTGTCTGTAAGTGTCCGGACACAGTGCAAAATTTAACACATGAGCACTCTCATTGTTACCCATCAACGATCAATCTACACCAAAATAAAGCCTATACCCGCTGTACAAATGCTTCATTTACATTCTTTTTTGTCAGCTACCTAGGTATGCGAGCCACTATTACAAGTGGACTAATAGGACAAATGGGTCTTTTAGTCTACAAGCAAGCAGCCCCTTTCCTCAATACCTACCTC